GGTAATAGATAGATAGATAGATAGATAGATAGATAGATAGATAGATAGATAGATAGATAGATAGATAGATAGAGAGATAGAGAGATAGAGAGATAGATAGATAGATAGATAGATAGATAGATAGATAGATAGATAGATAGAGAGAGAGAGAGAGAGAGAGAGGGGGGGTGAGAGAGGGGGAAGAAGAGAGGATTTAACTATAGCCTTGTATGTGATATATGTGTTTTGTTTTGAACTCAGTTAAAAGGCTCTAGACAGCCAAAGCGAGAGAGAGAGAGAGAGAGAGAGAGAGAGAGAGAGAGAGAGAGAGAGAGAGAGAGAGAGAGAGAGAGTGAGAGATAATAATATAATTATATAATATATATATATATATTTGTTTGTTTGTTTAGTATAGGGTTTTACGGCGCTCGCAACTGCATAAGGTCATATGAGCGCGCGGGACACACCTAATACTTTTTCGTTGGTAGGAAATTTTGAATTTTGCCCGGGTGGCGGCCGAAGCCTACTCTTATCGATTTTAGACCTCCAAGGGATCTTTAACGTGCGCAACTTGCACACGGGCCCTCCGAGATTTTTCGCCCTTGTCCGAGAAGGCTAGGTGTAGATCTTTCCTACCAGAAGATCAGGGATGTGGCAGAAAGACAGCAGTTAGGAGGAGCCAAGGAGTAGCAGTAGAAAGGCTGCAGACAGAGTCAGGAGCCCAGAGGAGGGGGCAAAGGAGGTGAGGGGGTGGGGGCAGAAAGTGGAAATGAAAGCAGACAACAGAACATTGTTAGAGATCAGGAAAGGATGGGAAAGGAGACAATTTTAGAGAAGAATTTTTTTTTTAGTCGCTACCCGGAATCGAACCCGGGACCTTTGAATGAGAGGCCAACACCTTAACCTCTAAGGCCACGAGAGCCCCCCTATATATATATATAATATAATATATATATATATATATATATATATATATATATATATATTATATAATAATATACATATAATCTATTTGTGGTGGCCGAATTTTGCTATTCAAAAGGCTTTTTAATGGCTGCATTGATCGACTTGCGGTTTTCGTCTAAAGATTCTTTAAAATATTCTCCCGATCATGACGCCCTTGGTTTTTTTCAGTTTTGAGACAGTTTTGCTGTAAAAAACTAAATTTCGTATTTCGCCGACGCTTCTGTCTCTGTAATTTTAAGAAAATCTGGAAGTGATATTTCGCGAGGCACATTTTGTTTTGAGAGTATAGATCTAGACCTTCTAATTTTTTGCACCTCTCAAGATTTATTGCCCCATTCCAGTAAAGTGTAAAGATAGAAGGCCAATAACTTTTAGTTGATGTTAATGCACCGATCGTTCTTTTCATCAAAAGTGGGCCCAGCTAGTATAGGTATAAAGAGAGAGAGAGGGGGTGGAGAGGAAATAACCATACCCCTGTGTGTACAATGTGTGCCGTATATATTGAACTCAGTGAAAGGCCTTTAGACAGACAAAGCGAGAGAGGGGGGGGTGAGAGAGAGAGAGAGAGAGAGAGAGAGAGAGAGAGAGAGAGAGAGAGAGAGAGAGAGAAAGAGAGACAGAGACAGAGAGAGAGTGGGGGGGGGGAGGTAATAACGATACCCTTGTTTGTACACTGTGTGTGGTATTGAACTCAGTGAAAGGCTTTTTATACAGCCATAGCCAAGTCCCATGACCGACCAACAAAGGTGGCTGCTATCAAAAGGCTATTGAAATGGAAGGAAATACGATTTATGGTGTCACGGTGGGGTGAAAGCAGGCGCTCGTCAATTTTGGGCTTTTTGAGTCATGCTTGTCATGTTCAAGTGTGTGCATTTTGTCTTGCATTGGGCGATAAAAAATACCGTCTGTCTTAAATAGAAGTCGTGATATTTGCTGCCGAAGTGGGTGAGGGTCGTCTGATGTTAGATGTAAGATTATCGAGAAAATGGCCATGACTTCCAAGCTTTTACTTTTAGTACAGGTTTTCCGCAACTGCATAATAAGGTCATATGAGCGTCAGATTAGAGGTGTTACAAGAGAGTAACAAACATAAAAAAGAAGAAAGGAAAATATAGACGATAGATGTTGGATAGGAAAGAAGGAGCAAACCACACCAGAGCACCCCCCAACCATCCACTTTCCAAAGCTTGAGCGTCCTTGCAAACTTTAAATGTACATTTTTTTCGTGCTTTTAATGAAGGTTTTTCGATAATGTTCACACAGAATGCGTTTTTAAAAGGACATTAAAACTTTACCCCCACCCCCACCCCCCTTTCGAGCCCTACCTTTCAAAAGATCAAATCGCAAAAAAATCTGCCCCACACACAGAAAAATGCCTGTTCCTGTGAGTTCATGGTTTTCACGAGCGCCTGATTTCACCACGCTGCTGCCTCACCAATGTTTATCGTGTGACACCAGATAAAGAAAACACGACACTTTTGATAACAAAATTCTGGAATGTAATATGAAGAAGGCATTAACTTTTCTTTACGGTTTCTCCGGCAAAACAGGGTATATCCAATAATATGTTGAATTTTTTTAAATGTGGGTTTGTTTGTTTTTGGTGGTGTTTTTGTGTTTTTACCCCTGAGTTTCCTGATCTTTTCCCTTGATTATTTCTACTGTCAAGGCCGCTTCCATTAAAAAGGGGGGGGGGGGGGGGGCTACACCGCCAAAATCAAAATTCGGCTCAAAATCTTGGAATTTGAGTTGTAGGCATTTTTAGCTTCCTCAGCTTCTCTTACAACTATTTCATGGCATAAGAACCCTCAAAAACCGTATTTTTTTCCATATCGGGCATGTTTGTTACCGCCATTTCCTCATTAAGTCAGTATTTTATTTTTCTTTATCGGCCGTTTTCTCAAAATGCGACTTTTCTCTATACTTTTTTGAATAACTCCACTATTTTTCATCCAATCATCATGAAATTTTCACAGAAAGATGAAAAGAGGTAATACTAAAAATTTGTCTGTTGAATTTTTGATATATTAAATAGATTTTTATTGGTGGTGTCTGGAGTGTGGATTTCCACGGATTTTTCGCAAACTTGAATGCTACCTCAGGAAACAATTCATTAAAATTGTTCTAATTCGATTAGGTAAAAATCAACAGACAAATTTTTAGATCTAATGTTTGTAAACACGCATGCAAAAAAACAATCAATTTCCATCAACGATAAGTGCGGTATTCATTACGTAAGACATGTCAATAAAATCCAATATGGCGGCGTATCCATGAAAACGAAACTTTTTTCTCAAATTTGATTGCGGATTTTAAGACTCCTTACTATGCTTGTTATATGTGTGAAATTTGGTAAAATTTGGTCCAGTAATAAGCGAGATAGCCTTCAGGTGTAAACCCCCCTCCCCCCTTTAAACTTTAAAAAATGTCTGTTTTTGTTTTTGTTTCTATCTTTTATGTGTGTTTCTGGTCTTCCTTTCTTTTTTTAAAAATTCAAATTCTCAATCTGTTACTGTTTCAATTCTTATTTCTGTTCTCTTCTTTTATGTTATGTTATGTTATGTAACATTTTTGTACATAAGCTGTTCTGTCACAAGAAACTCTCTCCCTGGGCCCCGCGTTTAATCGCTGGAGTCCAAAAGGTTTCCGTTACACTAGATCAACCTCAGCTGTCTTCACTTTGGAGCAAGGCCTGTGACTTGAAGCTTTTCGTCCAAAACAGTTTCTGAAATCGAAGCCATGTTCTTGTGAGATTCAAAATAGACGACGTGTTATTGGGAGTTCAAAAAAAGAAGAGTGAAGGGACGCAGAGAAATGGAATGACGGTATTAGTTTGGTGTTGGAGATCCTGTGAGAACCATGAGATAGAAATTGTATTGGTGAGCGAAAGTTAAAAGCAAGGAAAAAGACATATCAGTGAGAACTGTATAGGATAGAAATTATCAAGTTGAGCGGACAATTAAAAATAAAAAAAATTACCTTTCAGAACAATAGAATAGAAATTACCTAATTTGTAGGAAAATAAAAACAAGAAAAAAATCCCTGTTCTCATGCCCTATCGCTGAGAACAGTAAGTTATAAATGACCTAACTGAGAGTGGGGAAAAACGAGAAAAAGGCCTATCAGTGAGAACAATAAGTCAAATGTAAACTACTTGAGGGGAAACTATAAAACAAGATAAGAAGACCTAGCAGTGAATGTATGTGTATGTTCTCAGTCGGTGTTACTGATGTTTGAATAATAATCGCCATAATACTTATAATGGAGCTAAGTCCAATACATAAAATATAATCACAGAAAATCAAGAAATATAATAGCATGTGCGGTGTACATAACCCTGCTACTTACGCAGCAAGCTCTTTGCGATTTATAAAGGCCCTTGGAAACAGGAGGATATATAAAAATTCTGGGGAAAAACAAAACCCCAAAGAGACCACTTAGAAATGAGCAAGTTGCTATCTTAACTCTCTGCAGTGGTGATAGGTTAAGTTACAGATTTTTATCTTAGAAATTTTATCAAACAAATAATAGTAGAAATCACCATTATTATAATTATTTATGTTATAATAATAATAAAAACA